CTGCTGCTCTGGAATGGGGAGTCGCCGTCCCGCTCAGCGGCATGATGCTGCGTCTAAAGAAGTCCCTGTTGGACAGATGAGAGGGGGTGTCCCCATCAGAGCCAGCGGGGGTTTGCACCCCTTGCCCCCGCAGAGCCCGGGTTCGAGAGGGGCTGCAGGGCTGGGCAGGGCCTGGGGGCCAGGCCCTGACTGCCGTGTGCCCGCAGCGCCGCGGCATGAAGGGCAAGGCCCGCAAGCTGTTCTACAAGGCCATCGTGCGCGGCAAGGAGATGATCCGCATCGGGGACTGCGCCGTGTTCCTGTCGGCCGGCCGCCCCAACCTGCCCTACATCGGCCGCATCCAGAGCATGTGGGAGTCCTGGGGCAGCAACATGGTGGTCCGCGTCAAGTGGTTCTACCACCCCGAGGAGACCAGCCCGGGCAAGCGCCTCCACGAGGGCCAGGTGGGTGCGCGGAGCTCAGGCCGGGCCGCCCCTGCGCGCAGGTCCGCGGCGGGGGCCCTGGCTCATCCCTGCCCCTCATCCGCCGCACAGCACTGGGACCAGAAGTCCGGCCGCAGCCTCCCGGCCGCCCTGCGGGCCTCCAGCCAGAGGAAGGACTTCATGGAGGTAGGAGGGCAGTGGGCAGGTGGGCAGGTGGCCGGGCATCTCCTCACCCCCACAGCCCGGACAGGTTCGTGTCGTCTCGGCCCCTCTGTTGTTCCTGGTCTCTGCGTCTCTGGTGCTGCCACTCTGCCTCTTACTGCTCGGGTTGCTGTGTCTCGGTCTGTCCCCCTGTCCCCGTCTTTCTTGGTCTGTGTCTCTTTCTGCCTCTTACTGTCTTTTTCTTTTTTTTTATCCTCATCTGAGGGTTTTTTTTGCATTTATCTTCAGAAAGAGCGGGAGGGAGAGAGGGAGGAAGAGAGAGAAACATCGATGTGAGAGACACATCGAGTGGCTGCCACCCACACGACCCCAACCAGGGCCGGGGACAAACTGCAACCAAGGCACGTGCCTGTAGTGGGAACCAAACCCAGGACTCTGGTCTGCGGGCCGGCGCTCTAACCGCTGAGCCAAACCGGCCAGGGCCTTCCTTTCTGTCTTTCGATCTCATGTTCTGTGTCTGTTCGTCTTGGTCTCTCTGTCTCTGTGTCCCTCAGTCTCTGTCTCAGGTTCTGGGTCTCCCTTAGTTCTGTCCTTCCTGGTCCTCGGTCCAGCTCTGGGCCTCTCTCTGGGTGTCTGCCCCCAAGCTTTCCTGGTCCTGGGGTCCAGGAGGGTCTCCCTGACCCGCCCGCCCGCCCGCAGCGCGCCCTGTACCAGTCCTCCCACGTGGACGAGAACGACGTGCAGACTGTGTCGCACAAGTGCCTGGTGGTGGGCCTGGAGCAGTACGAGCAGATGCTCAAGACCAAGAAGCACCAGGACAGCGAGGGCCTGTACTACCTCGCCGGCACCTACGAGCCCACCACAGGCATGATCTTCTCCACCGACGGCGTGCCCGTGCTCTGCTGAGCGCCCGCGGCACCGCGGCCCTGCCTCGCTCAGGCCACGTGCACCGGTGTGCATGCAGTGTGCCCGTGGACACCGCGTGAGTGTGTACATGTGTGTGCCCGTATGCATGCACGTGTGTGCACACATGTGCACACGTCTCCAGCCCCTGTTTCCGAACCCCTCGGTGCCTCCCAAGAGGAGGCTCCTCCCCGCTATCAGGGTATGGCCCTGCCCGGCCCTCAGGGCCTCGCCTCCCGCACCTGTGAGCACCTGGCCGGGCCGGCCCGGGCCCCCAGCGCCCAGTGCAGATTGAGAGGGCATTCCTGAGGAACCAAACTGACAGCTCGCTCGGGGTTCCTGCTGCTCGTGGGTCTTCCCGAGGCTCCCAGCGCCCGGCCCTCAGCATGGAGCCCACCCTAAGCCTCCTGCCATGGGACAGGGCAGCCCAACACCCACCAGCCTCACTGACCAGGCCAGGCCTGCTCTGGGCACCTGCCAGGGGCCTGGCCTCAACCCTCTCAGGATGGCCTGGACTTGGGGAACAGAGCCAGGTGAGGGGGAGCCCAGCAGCTTCGGCCAGGCGCCAGGTGGAGGGGCCTGCGTGCCCTGAGGCCCTGGCTGGGCCCACCCTCCTGATGCAGACCCTCACACTACAGACAACCCAATGGTGCTGAAATCCTAGTCCCGGCCAGCCCGGAGGGAGGCGGCAGTTCTTAACCTGTACAGTTTTATTGTACCGAGACTCTTCCCCTGTATCATACACCTTTAAATGGAGTCAACTTTTTAATTATATATATAAAGATAAATATATATAAATATATATAAATATAAACTTTTTAAAACTGTGAAAAAATAGCTATGAAATTATAAAAAAAAAAAAAGCAAACACATTCTGACGTGCAGAATATTATTTTTTATTTCCTGTTAGATTGTGAGTGTCTAGCACCCAGCTTCACGGGCCCCCCTGTCCCAAGCACACCCCGCCCCGCCCCCGCCCTGGCCCAGGTGTACTGTATTTGCCCCCAGAGGAGGAGTTAGAGAGAGCAGAGGCTGAGGGAGGAGGGGCCCCGAGCTGAGCCCGGGTTGGGCCCCGGGAAGCACTTACCAGCCCCGCGCCCCCCAGGGAGACCGGAGGCCTCATCCAGACAATCTTAAGGGAAGGAAAAGCCAGACTTCGGTTTTATTTTTGGGGGAATTATTGTTTTCCTTTTTTTTTTTTTTAAGTTTCTTTTGGAATTTTGTTTGTTGGCGAATTCTGTGTGATCTTTTTCATAAAAAGAAAAAAGAAAAGAAAAAGCTATAATTGGAAAGGTACTGTTGTCTGGAGTGGTTCATTTCAGGGGCTGGGGGGGCTGGGGCGGGCTGGGGGGGCTGGGGGGGCTGGGGGTCCCAAGCGGCTCCTGGTGTGGGCGGCAGCGGGGGCAGCTGACACTGCCGGGCACAGGAGCTGGGTGCCGCCGGCTGGTGCCCCCTGGCCCCGGGGACCCCTTAAATTGGAGGTAATTTAAATGACAGGAAAGAAGCTGGGCCGCACCAGCCACGCTTCCCGCAAGTAAGCAGCCGCCGCCGGTCCGAGCGGCCGCGTCCACGGGGCAGAAAGTTCTCAGGCCGGCGCCGGGGGCCCGCAGCGCGGGGTTTGCTTTTTTTTTGCTTTAAAATTCAAGCGGGGCGCTCCCAGCCTCGCCCACACCTGAAGACGAGCCTGAGGGTCCGAGCGGCCCCGAGCCAAGGCGGCGATGGAGGGGCGGGTGCCCTGCCGGGCTCAGGGGCGGCTGGGCCCTGGTTGGCTGCCGCCCTCTGCACCCCGAGGTCAGCTCCCAGCCGGACCCCGGGGTACCCACCCGCAACCGGCGCGCAGAGCACGGGTGACATTCTGGGTGTGGAGGGAACAAGGCGATTACAAGCGGCAGCGAATGGAGGCAGCGTGGGGCCCGGGAGAGGGCGCGGGGGTCCCCGTTTCACGGGTGCTGGGCGGCCCCCCCAATACCCGAACGCGGGCGCGGCGGTGCGCTGGCGCCACCTGGCGGCCCCCGCTGGCAGCGCCCCGCCCTGTCTCCACCCACGTGGACGGCCACACCCCCTCCCCAATTCTCCCTCCAAGGGACCCACATCCAAGAGGGCGTCCACCCCACTCCTTGGGGAAACTGAGGCCCAGAACAGCGTGGGAATGTGTCCAAATCACACAGATCAGCGACAGAGCCTGGTTTGAGCCCAGACGGCTCGGCCTCACTCAGGTCCTGGCTCTGAGTCCGGGGGGCCGAGCAGGGCCAAGCTGCCTCTGCTCTGAGTCTGTCTGCCCCTCAAGCGGTGGGATGTAGCCTTCTCCGCGTCCCGAGGGCCTTCACATCCCAAATACTCCCAGCCCCCACCCCCTCCCCTCAAACCTGTCCAGGCCCACCAGGTGTGTGGGGACCCTCTTCTCCGTGACCTGTCCCCGCCTGTCCCCGCGAAACTTCAGGCTTGGGTGCAGCCAGGGCCGCTGTCCAGGGAAGACGGGGTCCGAGCTGAGCCGATGGGCCTTGTCCCGCCGGGACGCCTCCCCAGTCCCAGGGGCTGAGAGGGTGCAGCAGCCCCCACCCGCACGGACGCTACTCGGAAGCAGTCATGGGCAGTTTCTCTTTTAATGGCCAGTGCGGTACAGTTAGTGGACGGAGGGGTGGATGAGGGGATGGGGGTGGGGGACCAGTCGTAGCTGTGTGGTGGGTGTGGAAGGGCCCCCCCCCAGCAAAGCCCCTCTTTGGGGGTATACTCCACAAGTCCCCTTGGCTTGCTCTGCGCCACCCTGAAGCCCTAGAGGGTCCAGGCTGGGGTGGGACCCCCACCCCTCCCTACTTGCTGGGGACTCAGGTCCCTTCTTGGGCTCTGCTGGATGGCGGTCCAGGCTTAGGGCACCAGCCAACTTCAGCCGGGCTGTAGGGCCCTGCAGCGGACAGGTGGAGGAGCTGGAGGTCATCAGGGTCCTGAGTCAGGCACAGACCCCCAGCCTGGCAGCAGGTGGGTGGCGAGGTGTGTGAGAGGGGGTCCGGTGTGTCCAGGCCAGCACAGACTGTGGGCTCACACCACTCAGACCCAGGGCTCAGTCCCTCCATCGCAAACCCACAGCTGTGAGAACCAGGGTTAAGGCTGGGGAGACAGGAGAGGCTTCTGGGGTGGCGACAGTGGGGGCGGGTCAGGTGCTGTGGACGGTGGCTGGGCCACGAGGCCCTCAGCGCCCACCTGGGGGTGGGGGTCGCCAGGAGGGACATGGCTGGTGATGCGCTCTCCCGGGTCGGGAGGGCGGTGAGTGACTTCACAGAGCACTGGACGCCGATGGAGGGTGAGGGGCGGGCATGAGACAGGACGCAGAGCACAGTGCTGGGCAGAGTCCGGGGTCGGCAACAGGACTTGGCGGAACCCCGGGGCCGCAGTGATGGGCAGTTACCCAGAAAGGGTGGTATCATTGGCACGGGAGGAGGCCGGGGCCCCACAGGCACGGCAGGAGGGGGCAGGGAGGGGACCTCAGGCCTCCGGGCAGGGGCAGGCGGGGCGGGCTCAGAGGCCGGCGGGGAAGGAGGTGTTGGTGGAGGTCTGGAGGCAGCTCCTGGGGGCGTCCCGGGTGAGGCTGAAGGTGCGGTAGGCCACGGCGGAGCCCAGCGTCAGCCCTGTCATGTAGGACACGGTCATGGTGTTCCCTGTGGACGAGACCAGACCAGACGAGCTGGTGGGAGGTGGCAGTGAGCAGCCCCCCAGGACCACAGCAGCTGTAGACACGCGGACAAACCCTACCACGGGCAGCCCCTTGACGAAGGGCAGGAGCCGGAGCCTTGGTGTCGGGAGGGGGTATGCGGCAGGTGCCCAAGGCCAGCCCCCGGGACCGGATGAAGCCTGTCCCACGTGGGCCCCAGGTCTGGCTTCTCTTTTCTCCCCACCGCTTCCTCGTCACGGACAGTTTGGGGGTCTGAGGGGCATCTGGAGCACGCTGTGTCCAGAACCCAGCCCCGGCACCCTCCCCCGCCGCAGCCCCCACCCCATCTCAGCTGAAGGCCCAAACTTCTTGCTCTGCCCTGGCCAGTTTGGCTCAGCAGTTAGAGTCGGCCCGCGGACCAGAGAGGCCCGGGTTCGGCTCCCGCTAAGGGCACGTGCCTCCGTTGCAGTTTGTCCCCGGCCTGGTTGGGGTTGTGAGGGTGGCAGCCAGTCGATGTGTCTCTCTCACACTGATGTTTCTCTCTCTCTCTTCCTCCCTCTCTCCCTTCCACTCGATCTGAAGATAAATGCAAAGATGTCCTCGGGTGAGGACAAAACACAAAACAAACTTCTTGCCCTGCACCCGATCCGCCTCCTTCTTACCCCATCTCCCAACCCGTCAGCCGGTTCTGTGGACTCTGCCATCAAAACAGAATACAGGCCCCCCTCCCCCGTGCACACTGCCTTCCGCCCAGCACCTGTCCACGAGCTCTTCCCACACACTCACAAGGCTGGCCCCTTGCTACTTCCTCCAGGTCTTTGCCCAAGTCACCTCCTCAGGGAAGCCCTCCCGAGCTGCTCTGCTGGTGGTGTGAATCCCCCACTCGACTCGCTCACCCACTTCTCTGCTCTGGTTTTCTCTGCTGTTCTTTGTTATTCGTCTGTCTGTCTCCTCTGGACTGTCAGCGCCAGAAGCACAGGGGTCATTGTTTTGTCACCACTGTGTCCCCAGCACCCAGAACGGCGCCTGGTGCTCAGCAGGGTCTCACCAAGCAGTTGTGGAGCGAAGGAAGGAGTGTGACTGAGGCTGTCCCCATACCTACGCGCGCCCTAGGTGGACTTGGCCCGGACCCCGCTGCGCGCTCTGGCTGTGTGGCCGTGGACTCTGGGGGCCCTGGATTCCGTGTCCCTGGCCGGCCGGCCGCGTCGGAACGGCCGAGCGGGGCCTTACCTGCCAGCTCCCGCTGCTTGGGGCCCACTTTGCCGGCCGCCAGGATCATGGGCACGCTGCCGAAGTAGCCATTGCTGATGCCCATGAGCAGGGAGAAGACGCAGGGCCAGGCCGGGTGGCGCAGGGTGGGTGTGCCGCTGGGGTAGACGCACAGGATGAAGAGGGGGATGAAGACCACGCGAAGGCAGGAGCAGGCCAGCAGGTGCGGGCCCCGCCAGTCCATGGGCAGGGCCGCCAGGATCTGCAGGGAGGGAGCCAGGCGGTGGGTCCCACCTCCCCAACCCACTGCAGCCTCCAGATGCACCCCTTGCCCAGACAGGCTCTGCTCAGTCCACGAAAACCCACCAAACCCCCGTTACAGCCCAGCACCCTCAAAACACTGCGCATGGCCCCTTCGGTCCTCTACGACCCTCTTGGGAGGGCTCTGGACCCTGTTTGAGAAATGAGGACACCTAGCCAAGGGTCAGACCCCCTTAAACAGCAAGAAATAGCAAGAGGAGGAGTTGAATGACTGAGTTGCTCATACCTCTCGCTGTGTGACCTCAGGCAAATGGCTCTCCCTCTCTGAGCCTTGCATTCCCCATTCCTGGACAAGGCCCGCCTGGCAGACCTGCCCCAGAACTGCAGCTTTGATCCCCCAGCCCCCCTGCACTCAGCACCTGCGCTCTGGCTCCCTGAGCCACTTCTGGGGGGCCCTGCCCCTCTGGGGTTCTCCTGGTGCTGTCAGAGACCCAGAAACCAGGAGGATGGGAGCCTGCCCCTCCCCAGGGATACCCCATGGCTCCCCTGGCGGCCGGCCGCTCCACCTGGGACCCCCTCCCCCCGGGGCGGGGCAGCACCCACCTTGCCCACGAAGTCGGAGAGGTTGAACACGGCCATGATGAGGATGGGCAGCCACTCCCCCAGGACGCAGTGGCGGATCTCGGACTCGAGACCCGGGAACAGGCACAGCGTGATGAAGTAGGTCACGGCAATGGACAGCATGTCGGCCCAGATGACACGGGCCACCAGGTACCGGTGCAGCAGCAGGGCTGTGGGAGGGGGCGGGTCAGGGGTCAGCACCCTGCCCTCCCCGGCCTGAGCGCCACCCACCGGTGCTGCCGAGCCTGAGCCCGGCCCGCCCACCTCGGAAGGAGGGCCAGCCCTGCCGGACCCTCGGCGGAGGCACGTCAAAGCGCATGTAGGCTCCCCTGCCGCCGGTCACCTCGTGGGCTGGGCTGTCCTTCGGGGACCCGCTGCTGGGCGGGGCGGGGCCTTGGTTCTCCTGGGGGACGGAGCAGGACAGGGTTTAGGTGGCAGCCCCGCAGGCCCCCTGCCTGCCTTGCTTCCTCACAGCCCCCAAAACACGGGAGGGGGGGGGCTCTGCCCAGCCTCTGGGCCGCGCAGCTTTTCCTGCTGTTCCTGTTCCCAGGGCCTCTCCTGGCTCCTCGCACCTCCCCTCCCCCTCCACACCGGCCAGGGCTCAGCCCGAAGCCACTCCTCAGGGCCCCCCTGACCATGAAGGGGCCCCCCAGTCTTTGCCCCTTCCCAGCATGGCCCTTGTCTCAATACACTGCCCTCTGCCCATTTTGGGGTCTCTGGGATCCACTGGGGACAGTGTCCCTGGCCCCAGCCGAAGGCCCAGGTGACTGGCTGGGTCAGCGTCTGTGAGGACATGCTGGCTCTCCCTGCCCTGCACACACCACCACGTCCGCTGTGCCTGCGGGGGAGGGGCTCCCTCAGCCCCCATGGCCCCCCTCACCCTGCAGGTGCCCCCACACCTGCCTCCCCAGCCCGCGGGGCTGTGTGCCTCCGCCCCCCAGGGTGGCGCTGGGAGGGGCTGCCCACGGGCTCAGGCCACAGACAGGGCTGCTTCCAAGGGAGGAAACCTTGGTCCACGTGAGAAAGGAGGCCCCTGCCTGGCCGGTCGGGCTCAGTGATTAGAGTGTCGCCCGCGGACCAACGCGTCGCAGGCTTGATTCTGGCCAAGGGCACGTATCGCGGTTGTGTTCGTACCTGGCCCTGGTCAGGGTCGCGTGGGAGGCGACCAGTCGATGTGTCCCTCACACTGACATTTCTCTCTCCCCCCTGCCACTGTCTGAGGATAATGGAAGAACACCCTCGGGGGAGGGCTGGAGAAAGCAGAGAGAAAGAGAGGAGGCCTCACGGGGGCCTTGGCCGGGCGGGAGGGAGGCTGTGCGGCCCGGCTCTTCCCGAGGTCACGCGGAGGGACCGCACTCACGAAGCAGACGTCCCCGGCGGCCACGTCGTGGTGCGCGCAGTAGCCGGCCGGGTGGCCCGGGCGGCTGTCGCGGGGCCGCCCCGTGTGGTGCAGCACGAAGCGGCTGCGCCGGACCAGCAGGTGCAGCAGGAAGCAGAGCAGCTCCAGGCCGGCGGACACCAGGAAGAAGATGAGCGTGCTGGTGCGCTCGTCCGGGAGCAGCAGCTTGGTGAGGATGCGGCTCAGGGACACCATCACGCCCGCGGTGCCTGCGGGGGAGGGGCTCGCTCAGCCCCCAGCCCCCCTCGGCCCCCCTCAGCCCTCCACGGCCCCCCACACACCCACCCCACGGCGCCCCGCACACCCACCCCACAGCCCCCCACAGCCCCCGCACACCCACCCCACAGCCCCCCACAGCCCCCGCACAGCCCCCCCACAGCCCCCCGCACACCCACCCCACAGCCCCCGCACACCCACCCCCAGCCCCGCTGGGCCCCAGGCTTGCCGTGCCTCCACTCCAGTCTGCCAGCCCTGCCCAGCCCTGGACACTCAATGAGCTGCCACAAATGTGCCACCGAGACCACCCCTCCCGGCAGAGCTGCTCACGCCCCTCCGCCCCTCCGAGAGCACTTGTCAAGTGCCTGCTGAGGACACAGCGCGGATGACACGTGGGCCTCGGTGGGGCGAGGACACAACCAGGTGAGGAAAGCACCAACCACAGTGCGTGCCGGCGGGGACGGCGGAGGCCAGGGGACCAGCGTCGGGCAGGGAGGGGGCAGCGGAGGCCAGGGGACCAGCGTCCTGGCAGGGAGGGGGCAGCGGAGGCCAGGGGACCAGTGTCCTGGCAGGGAGGGGGCAGCGGAGGCCAGGGGACCAGCGTCTGGCAGGGAGGGGGCAGCGGAGGCCAGGGGACCAGCGTCCTGGCAGGATGGGGGCAGCGGAGGCCAGGGGACCAGCGTCTGGCAGGGAGGGGGCAGCGGAGGCCAGGGGACCAGCGTCCTGGCAGGATGGGGGCAGCGGAGGCCAGGGGACCAGCGTCCTGGCAGGATGGGGGCAGCGGAGGCCAGGGGACCAGCGTCTGGCAGGGAGGGGGCAGCGGAGGCCAGGGGACCAGCGTCCTGGCAGGACGGGGGCAGCGGAGGCCAGGGGACCAGCGTCCTGGCAGGACGGGGACAGCGGAGGCCAGGGGACCAGCGTCCTGGCAGGATGGGGGCAGCGGAGGCCAGGGGACCAGCGTCCTGGCAGGGAGGGGGCAGCGGAGGCCAGGGGACCAGCGTCCTGGCAGGGAGGGGGCAGCGGAGGCCAGGGGACCAGCGTCCTGGCAGGACGGGGGCAGCGGAGGCCAGGGGACCAGCGTCCTGGCAGGATGGGGGCAGCGGAGGCCAGGGGACCAGCGTCCTGGCAGGGAGGGGGCAGCAGAGGCCAGGGGACCAGCGTCCTGGCAGGGAGGGGGCAGCGGAGGCCAGGGGATCAGCGTGGGGCAGGGCAGGGTGCTGTGTGCTCACGTCTGAGGAGCTGACAGGAAGCAGCTGACCCCTGAGGCCATCCAGACACAGGTGCTTTGACTAGCAGGGTTGATGGTTGGGACGGGGGGGGGGGGGGGGGTGCTGCCCTGGGCAGGGGTGGGGGGGGCCAGCGGAGGAGTTGGCCGCCTGGACCAGGGGCTGGGTTGAAAATCAGCCTGGAGGGCAAGTCAGAGGCCGCTGGGTGCAGTTTGGGCTTGAGCACAGGGTGCCGTTTTTTTGTTGTTGTTTTTTATCCTCACCCGAGGACATTTTTCCATTTTTTATTCAGATAGAGCGGGAAGGAGAAAGAAACATCGATGTGAAAGGGACACATCAAGCGGCCGCCACTCACACGACCCAACCAGGGCCGGGGACAAACTGCAACCAAGATACGTGCCCCGAGCAGGAACCGAACCCGGGTCTCTCTGGACCGCAGGCCGACGCTCCAACCCCTGAGCCAAACCCGCCAGGGCCAGGGTGCCACTCTATGAGCAGGGGCGGGGGGCCTGGAGTTGGAGAAGCCAAGGGGGGTTGTGGCCCTGGTGCTGAGGAGAGCTGGGTGCCGAGGTGTGGCTCACCTCGCGGGTGCTGGCGGCGTGCCCGCTCACACACGCACGGACACGCATGCACACAGACATGCACACACGCACAGGCACTCCGCGACACTCGCCCCTGCCCAGAGGCAGGTGCTTCCCGCAGCACAAAGGTCACGGTCCCCAGCCAGGCAGGCTCAGAGCGCATGAGCCCAGCCCCTCAGCCCCTCCGTCTGGGCTCCTTGGGAAAAGGCTTCTGCAGCCCGGGCAGCCCGGCGCCCCCTGCTGGGCTCTGTGGATACTCACTCTCCCCGGTCATCACCCCCTGCGTGTACCTCTTGGGCAGCATCCCCGTGTACCCATAGAAGCTGGATTGCTGCACTTGAGAGAGAGAGAGAGGGGAGCAACCGTGAGACACCCCTTACCCGGTCAGCGTGGACACAAGCCTGAAGTCTGGGAACACTGCGTTGGCGAGACCTCAGGGAAACAGACCGCACACTGCTGGTGGCAGAGGCCTGGGGTCCAACCACCTCGCGGTGGTGAGAACAGCCTCACCCACCAGATGGGGCACGTCCCGCCTCCCACATGCCTGCCTTGGGGCAGCCAGGCGTCCTGCCCCGGCTGCAGTGAAACATGAGCAGAAATGACACGAGTCACTTCCGGATGAGGCAGAGGAAAGCCCACAGGGACTTCCACACTGTCTGTCCCCCCACGGCAGAGGCCCGTGTCCCAGACCGGGCAGCCGTCAGCTGAGTTGCTGAGAGACTGAGTGACTGAGTCCCAGCCACGTGCTGGACGTGTAGCAAGAGCCAGACATGTTTTGATTTTTGAAGCCGCTGCGACTTCTGGGCTCATTGGTCACCACAGCGTAACGGCTCCCGTCCTGACCCTGGTGGCGTCCCTGAAAGTGATGTGCCTGGCTGACAGCCCACAGTCGGGCAAGTCCCCGCCCAGGCCGGCCCGAGAGGGCTGGCAGACTGGGCCTTCCTGGCCCCGACAGCTCGTGTTTGCGTCTCACACGACAGGACCCGAGTGCCTGCCTGGACCGAGGGCATCGGGTCAGGAAACCCTGGCTTCTCGGGACACATGGCTTCCTGGAGGAGGCGCTGTCACCGCTGGGCCTTGAAGCCAGATGTCACCCTGAGAGGAGCCGGAAGGGAGAGGACGGAGCCCCTCCCCCAGGCCCTTACCTGTGCAGCCGAAGGCCACGGTGCCCACAGCGGCCAGGTTGACCGCATAAGCCTGGTCCCAGGAGAAGAGCTGCAGCCACAGGTCACAGATGCTGATGAAGAGGAGGGGGCCCGAGGCCAAGAGGTAGCCTGTGGGGAGACAAGCGTGAGTCAGGACACGGCGGGCCGGCGGCTCCCACTCACCCACCTCTCGTAGTGCAGGGTCTGGGGTGCCCTCTCTGCCGCTGCCATTGATGCTCGGAGAGTGGGGCACCCTGGGGGGCAGGGCGGCAGCCGGAAGGCTTCCTGGAGATGCCGCTGGACTGGCCCTTGAAGCAGGGCGTCAGCACAGGGAGCAGAGGGACAGGGGGGCCGAGCAGGCAGAGGGGAGGGCTCGGGCCCGGGACGAGGCGGACACCCACGAGCCTCCCCGGCGCAGACCCATGCCAGCCTGTGGTGCGCCCACCACGGACCTGACCTCATTTCCGTACACGGAACCTCGCGGCGTTCTAAGGAGGGGCGCCCAATTTCTAGACAAGGGGGTGCGGCAGGGGAGCGCACCCGCGGTGATCCTGGTGTGCAGGCTCAGTCTCTCCACCAGCGCGTTGTTCAGGAGCACGGCCACCAGGGCCACCAAGATGTAGGTGAGGCTCATGTCGAACACGATCGAGGTCCCTGTCGGGGGCGCCAGCAGCAGGTGCTCAGGGGGAACTCCCACCCCCACACCTGCCCACTAGGATGGCCCAGAGAAGGTGAGTGGCTGCCCTGAGGTCACTCAGCAATTCCCAGCTGAGCCACGATGTGAATGAATGGAGCCCCTCAGCAGGGTCCTGCGGAGGGGGCCTGGAGGGCGGTGGCCAGAGCGGCAGGCGTGACCCCGGGAGCCAGGGGACCCACCTGGGAACTTGTGGTGCAGGTAGTCCACGTCCGTGATGAAGCTGTTGTACGGCAGCAGGAAGCCCACGCCAGCCAGCAGCATGGCGAAGTAGATGGCGTGGTAGCGGTCGTCGGGCACCGGCCCCTCTGCTGCTACGGCCAGAGGCACCAGGTGAGACGTGGACAAGCCCACGCCTGGCCACAGCCACCTCCCAGGGTCCCCATGGCCACTGTCCACCAGGAGCCACAACCATGTGGCATGGCATCCCACCATCCCATGCCACCATCCGTCGGTCCCGCCACCAGGACCACTGCCACCTTGGCCACCCCCATGACCACTGTCACCGTGGCCACTGCCACCGTATCCAACAGCATCACAGCTTCTGTCACTCTGGCTGCCACCATTCTCCACGGCCATGGTCACCAGCACCACTGTCATAGCCACGCCCTCCCCTTCACAGCCACTGTAACCATGGTGACCATCACTACAACCACCACCATCACCATGGCCTCCACCCACCTTCGTGGCCACAGCTGCTTCAGTCATCAGAACCACGCTATTGGGGTTCCAGTCTGTGACCTCCCTGCCCACCCGCCCGGGGACTTCAGACTGGCTCAGCCAACCTCCACTCTGGGAGCCAATTCCTATCCCAAGTCCACGTGGCCACCAAGCCTACAACTGCCTGGGGGTCTGTCTACCATCTGCCTACACATCTACTGGCTCTGCGTCTGCTGAAACTGACTGACCCAGCCACCGTCACCAAGGCCACCGACCTTACAATCAATCACCATGGCCACCATCCACCTCTATGGCCACGGCTGCCAGGGCCACTGCCTCATGATCTCTACTGTCACCTCTGGCCAGGAGGAGCCTGGCACTGTGGGGACAGCCCTGGGCTGGCTCGTCCATGCACAGGGCACTGGGAGGTCTCCCGCCACCCCAGGGCTCGGCCAGCAGAGCCTCCATGCCCTGTCTGCAGAGACGGGGCGGAACCTGAGACACAGACCCCGTTTCTGCGCCTGCAGAGCCGTCACTCACGGGGGGCCTCCCGAGTGCCTGGGACAGTCCTCAGCAATGTTCTGTGATCTGTGTACCTGGAGGGTGGCACCAGGGTCGCTGCCCTTCTAAAGAGGAGGTACCAAAGGCCAGAGAACAATGAATTGCCCGAGGTGCCCCCCAGAGCAAAGGAGCTGGAACTGGGGTTGAAGCCGAACCTGCCTGGCTCCAGCTCTGTGCGCGGCTCACTCTGCAAGTCTGACCTAGCGGGCCTGCTTCCTCCAGGCTCAGAGAGGCTGGGGCCCTCCACCAAGGTCACAGCTGGGCCAATGTGACCAAAGCGACCTGTGTCACTTCAGATGGAAGTGTGACGCACGGGTCAGTGCATGAGTCACCACTGCGGGCCTGCCACCTGGCCCAGGAGTCGGGGATGCCCACGTTCAGCGGGCGCCGCCCCAGCCCGGCTCCGGGACCTGCCCTGACACGTGGCCCGGGGTGAAGGCGGGAGCTCGGCCCGTCGATGCCCAGCAACTGGCCCGTCCCGCCGCTCAGCGCCGCCCCTCCCGGAGGGCTCGCCCACCATCTCCGCCTGGGCCACCTGCCTCACCCACACCCGCTCACCGGAGTCTGAGAGAATCGGGGCGCCCCTGGCCCGGCCGCCCTGGCCCCCGGCCGCCCCTGAGGCCGCCTCGTCCTCCAGCTGGCAGCTGTCGAAGCTGAAGCTCGTCACCACGCTCCTGTCCGGCGTGCCCGCCACGCTGGGCTCCTTGAGGCGCTGGCTGCCCACGGAGCCCATGGCAGCCTGTCCTGCAGAGAGAGGGCGGCTGAGGGGCCAGGAGGGGCACCCCTGCCGCTGCCAGGTCCTCGCTGTTCGCCCCACCCCCTTGGGGACAGCGAGACGGAGCGCACACCTAAGCAGCCGGCGATGCAGCATGGCCTGTGTTTGAGGAAGGGGACGGTGACCGGGGCCTCGTGAGGGTGGCGGCAGTGGGCACGGAGAGAAACAGGTGCAGGGAGGGTGTTTTGGAGGGGGGATGCCAGGACTGGGTGAGCGGTCAGGAAGACGACAGTGCTAACAGTGGCCACCATGTCCCCCCGGGAGGAGGGGTCCACCTTACAGCCGAGGAGAGCGAGGGTTAGAGGTGAGACCCCCCCTGCCACCCAGGCCTCACAGGCAGTACGCAGGGGAGACCCGACCCAATTCCGGGCCTGTGGACACTCAGTCACCATCGCCCTGTTCGGGGGCCAACCACCTTCACTGGCAGAAAGTCCTTCCTTTGGTCTAGCCTCAGTTTCTCTTCAATTCAAATCTGCCAGCCTCTCTCTTTGCAGGAAGGAAGGAGCCAATAGATTTGCGATGGAGAGATACCCCCTCTGCACAGCTAACCCTATGTGTGTGGGGGGTTCGTTTTTTACCTAAAACATTTAATAACTTGTTTTTCTTTTTCAATTTTTTTGTTTAATCCTCACCCGAGGACATTTTTGCATTTATCTTCAGATAGAGCGGGAGGGAGAGAGGGAGGAAGAGAGAGAGAGAAACATTGAGGTGAGAGGGACACATCAAGTGGCTGCCACCCACACGACCCCAACCCAGGCCGGGAACAAACTGCAACCGAGGTACTGAACCCGGGACTCTGGTCCACAGGCCGACACTCTACCCGCTGAGCCAAACCGGCCAGGGCATCGATTTGATTTTCTAATGAGCTTATTCACTTATCTGATTGCAACAAGGCTCCATGCTCCGAGAGACTGAGACAGAGGTGCACACTGCGGCACCTCTGTGTCTCTGGGATCCCACATGCCCGGGTTACCACAAACTTCTCTGAGGTGGGCCCACGGCTACGCTCACCCCCCTTTCTGCCTGCTCATTTCCTCCAGCTCTCCTGCCCCCCTTTACCCACTCCCCAGCCTCCAGACACCGAGCGCCTCCCCTCCCCCACCCCATGGCTCCCCTGTCCTGGCCCCCCATAGCCGTGTCATGGGGGCCAGAGACGGCCTGCTTCCAGGCTGGTCTGGGCGCTGGGAGATTCTGCCCGCCGGCTTGGGCACCAGGAGCAGTGGCGAAGAGGGGGGGCTTCTCCTGTGGGCTAGGAAGCCAGACACAGACACCATCCCCGTAGGACCCCCTCCCTGAGCCCAGCCCTAGCCTCCTGCCACATCAGGAGCTGGGCCGAGTAGGACTTCGGACAGAGCTCCGCCTGGACTTGGGGGACTGTGGCCTTGGGCAGGATCTCCCCCTGGAGGCCGGAGACTCTCGGGCTGCCCCCCAGCCCCCCCCCCCCCCCCCCCGCAGACGCGAGGGCTGGGAAAGGCCAGTGGCCGAGGGGCACCTACTAACGGAACACTCCTCCTAAGATCTGCTCAGGAAAGAGGGTCCCAGCCCTGGAGGGTCCGCACCCCACCCCAGGGCCTGTCCAGCAGAGGTCTGGAGACGAGCGCCCAGATGCGCCCGGCCTCCGTGAGAGGTTCTGCCCAGCTGAGTGGTCATGCCACCCAAGAAGGAGACGTGCTTAGCATTCAGCCAGGAGGTGGCCTCCAGCTCGGTGGCGGCAGCTGCCACCCACACCGGCGGCCCTAGCCACTGTCCCCATGTGCTCCTCCGGGCCCCTCCTGGAGGTGGGGGTGCTCTGGCTCCCCTGCTGTGGTCCCGTGGCCCCTAACACGACATCACTGGCCTGGGCAGAGGCCAGGCTGCGCGGGTGGGGGGAGCAAGGGGTGCACTGAGGAGGCGCCCCCACCTCTCCGGGGCTGAAGGCCTCACTTCGCCCCTCCCCACACCCCTCGCCTCAACACCAGCAGCTCAGAGCCCCGAGCCCACCAGCCCACCCCCTGTGTGCCCCTTTCACGAAAATTAGATCACAGGGCCTCAAGGTCCAAGAATGCACTCGGCTCTCCTCTGCCCCCACTCTGCTGGGACCCTTCTGTGCCCGCTCTGGGGAGCAGCTGAGGACTCAGTTCACCCTCCAGGCCTGTCTCCCCGCCTCCCTGTTGTGAATGAGGATTCCGTCCCCCCCAAACAGGACGGTCAGTGGGGGAAGGCTGCCCTCTGGAGGTGCCCAGCTTCACACCCGCCCACCGCAAGGCTCTGCCGGGGCCGAGGGGCTCCTGACCCCAACATGCTGAAAACCCAGCTCCGGCTGCCACCTTGTAGGAGGGCAACTGAGGCACAGATCCATGTCCGGCGGTTGGGCAGCGGGCTCATCACCTTTGGTCCCCAACTTCAGCTGTGACCGAGTGGACATTGGTTCTGACTGCCTCGGGGCTCGAGAGGGGCTAGGCATCTGGACCCCAAGGCCAGGCTGACCCCTCAGGCTGTACTCTGCCTCCTGAGTACATCCCCAGAGGGGACAAGGGAACCTGGGTTCTCTGTGGAAAGCCAGCCCGCAGGCCTCACAGTGCTCGTGGCCACAGCTCTGGGCAGCTGGACCCCCAGCCAGCCCCAGGCCCGGCCTAGGCCCTCTGATGAGTGAGTTCTCTGCCGCTCCGTCTACAGCCAGCCCTTCAGGTCTGCCCCACACCTCCAGGCGGGTTCTGCCCACAAGAAAGTGGGTTTCAAGATCCCCCCATCAGGCCCTTTCTGGAGCCCCCGCCCAGACAGGCGGAGGCAGGGGCCACAGGCACCGCTGGCCGGCTGCAGGGGCAGCTGGGACCCCCCCCTCCTGGTCCCTGCAGTGTCCATAGCTCGCAGCACCCCCACCCCTGTCGGTCGGGTTCCATCAGCAGCAAAGTTGGTTCCCAGGCCCGCGCCCCAGGCAGAGGGCAGCCGCCCCCGGCCACTGTGGGGTGACCCCTGGCAAGGCCCCGCCTCTTCCAGCTGGCTGGTGGGGAGGCTGAGGCGGCGGAGAGGGGGTCCCGGGAAGAACTTCAGGCGGAAGGACCCCTCGCCCGTGCCCGGGGAAGGAGGCGGCACCAAGCCCCCAGCAGGCCCGGTGCCACCGGGCACCCTGCCCCTTCCCGGGTCTGGTCCTGCGCTCGCAGCCGGCTGCGGGGGAGGGTGTAGCCCGGTCCGGATCCTGGATGCGGCGGGGATGGAGGCCCCCTCCTCCCTGGCCAGGGGTGAGGTGGGGTCTTGGGGTCCCCAGAGCCACGTGCCCGCGCCCTGGACCCGCGACCCGAGCCGGCGCGGAGCGGGGCTGCGCGCGCCGCAGACAAAGGCTCCGACAGGTCCCCGCACCCCGGCCCGGCCCCTCCCCCGCCGCCACCGCCGCGGGGACCGCTCACCTCGGGCCGGCCTGGCCTGGGGGCCTCGCAGCGCCCGATCCCGTCTGCGCCCGCCGCCCGCGCCGGGACCCTGGGCGCCTGCGTCCCCCGCCCCGCACCCCGCGTCGGCCCGACGCAGCCGGCGGCCTCCGTGGGTCCCCGTCCGCCGTGGGTCCCCGTCCGCCGGCCCGCGGGTCGACCAGCGCGTCCGGGGGCCCCCGCGCTCCGCCCCCCTCGCGGAGCCCCGCCCCGCCCGGGCCGCGCGCCCTCCCCCACCCCCGCCCTTCCCCGCCCCCCATCCCGCTGCTCCGCAGAGACCGGGGCGGGGCTGGGGCGGGGTGAGCTGAGGTCCTGCGGGACACCAGCGCCCGCGGGCAGGGGGGTGTCGGGCCGGGCAACCCCGAAGACCTGTGGCTGACCTGGCGCGCCAGCCCCATACCCGAACCCCCAGCCCAGGTCCCCAGGCCTAGCACCCCGCCTTGGCCCCTCCCGCCCAGGCCGGCAGGTGAGTGGGACAGGTCCCTCCGTGACCGACTCTAAGTTTTGAACGATGAGTGGGAGCCCTTGGGCGGGAGGCCTTGCACAGTCCAGCCGGGTTTAGGGGCTGCGGCCCTTCCCTTGCCTGGTCGCCACCCCTGGGCCCAGTCCCGGCCGGGGCCTGTCCAAGGGAATCAAGTGAGTCCCCCTCCGGCCAGTGCCGGTCATTAGGGTGGGACCGACACACGTGTCCGCCGCCCTGCCCTCACTTCCCACCAGCCCAGCTCCCCCTCCTGCCTGAGACCCCTCTGGCTTCACCCAGGAGGCCCCAGCACCTTTGCTCACGCTCAGCCCAGGACTCCCCAAAGCAGGGCACCCCTGAGAGCAAGGCCCGCCCTCTCTCCGGAGCCTCAGGGCTCAGCCCTGGGCCTGGCACCGGCAGGAGCCCAGTGCTTGTGTGCAGGGCGCACAGAGCTGGGTGCGGAACCTGACAGCCTGCTGGGACGATGCCCATTGCGGCGGGGTGGCCCGGTTCCCGCCCTCTGCCGCTGTCTGGGCCAGGGACCTGGCCGGTCCTCCAAGTCATTTCTTCAAGTCCTGAGCCTGGGGCTTTGGAGGGGCGCAGGAGGCCAGGCCGAGCCGTCCTGGGTGTGGATAACGATTTGCTGTGTGTGACACACTTTTATTTAGTTAGCTATTATTTTATTTTCTACTTTTGAAAAGATTTTTCATTGATTTTTGTTGTTGTGAATCCACACCTGAGGATATTTTTTCCATTGATTTTTAGATAGAATGGAAGGGAGGGAGGGAAGAGAGAGACAGAGAGAGATCTTGGTTGCCGCCTGCATGACCCCAGCCAGGGCCGGAGATCAAACCCACAATTCAGGTACGTGCCCTTGACTGGGAATGGAACCTTCGACTCTTCGGGCCCCCGGCCAGCGCTCTAACCCCTGAGCTAAACCAGCCAAGGCTTTATTGATTTTTTAGAGGGAGGGAGAGAGAGAAACATGGATCCGTTGCCTCCTGCACGCCACCTACTGGGGATCGAGCCTGAAACCCAGGCATGTGCCCCAACCGGGAATAGAACTGGCAACCTTTTGGTGCACAGGATGACACCCA